GACACATTCTAGAGAGAACAGACAAAACAGAGGAGACTTTATGAAATGACAGTCAAAGGTGGTACAGGTTTCCAACTGGAAGAATAATGTGACTTAAAAGCAGCATCATGTTTTTATATATACTGTGATATCAGCAGAAATGAATAGGTGGGCTAAACAAGCTGCAAATGAACAGGAAAAGAGAAACGAGAGATTACTTGAATGCCTTAAAAATTGGATGAAAAGAAGACAAGATTATTTGCATATTTCAGGTTAAGGTTTTATAATGGTACAAGTTGTTTAATGGAAAACAGAAATGTCTATAACAGACCAAATATATATCCACAATTGACCTTTATCACACGTTTGGAATTTGTGGCCAACAAATGACATATTCCAGTGAAATCAGCAGATGTTTAGTCCAATAGCAGCCTAGCCCTTCAAAATGAACGCTAAACACTTCCACCAGAGTCAAATTGTAGATTTAAACCACAAGACCAGTGCAGTGGAGTTATTCAGGGCCAGAAATAGCACTGGCTAGTTCACAGTCTCTCTGAGATCTACACAAACGACCCAAAAGGGGGGGGTGGGGGGTGGGGGGTATGCGTTTCTTATAGTACATCTGCTGCAACACAGTGAATGTAAACATTTACAGACATTTACAGCAATCCACTCGCATGAGCGAACATCTGTTTTGTAAACCTTTAGCCCTGCTTTCATATTGACGGGAAATGTCTACAGTAACTATATGGAAACACGAACATTCTGAAGCCGAGCACCAGAAGGACGTGATAAAAGAAACACAAACACAAAACACAACAATTAAGTGCCATAGTTGGTAAAAACACTAAAGCTCAACGTCTGCACACGTGACGAAAACAAATAATTGCTTTTAAACTAGCTAATGCTGTTACGAAGGATATATTTAGCATCTTGACCAACAAATCTACACATCTCTCTTCTTAGTTTTAGTAACATTTGAATTCAAAATAAAGAATATTTAAAGATTATCTTACTATGAAACTAATAAATCGTGTTTAGACCTAAACGGTGCTTATTTGACCTCTTTTTACAAATGATCAGACAGACTTATTATAGCGTGCGTGTGGACAGAAACAGTCAGACAGTGCACCACACATTGTTCTTTGTTCACATCTGGTGAATAATGCTACATGAGTACCTGTCACTGGCAGTATTTTGAGAATATTCAGCAGCAGAGTGGGAAAAGCCCTTCTTTGACTTGATTGTGCGGGAGTCACAGTCAGCTTTGTGTACGTTGGCCGGCAGTAATGAACCGCATGAGTGATGTCTGACTCACACTAGCTCACAACATGCGTTCCATGACTGAAGATAAACTGGGTTTTGTTCCTTCTTAAAAAACAAACATATAAAAAATATGTGAGATGTATAAAAGGGCAATTCTCATTAAAAAAACGTCTAGGTCATATTTCACCCCATAATTATTATGCATTGAAATAACTGTAATACAAATATAATCAATTCAGCACTTTAAAAAGCAATTAGCTAAAATAAAAAGTGTAAAAATGTGTTGCTTTAAAAATGATTAGTAGACTTTAAAATTGAGAAAACTCGTTAATTTTGAAGCCATATAGTTGACTTTACTTAATAAATTGAGTAAACATGATGCTTTTAAAGTGATTAGTTGACTTTAAAAAATGAGAGCAATTATTTTTAAAGCAATAAGTTTAGTGATTAGTTGACTTTTCTCTAAAAAGTGAGAAAATGCATTGTTTTTAAAGCGATTAGTTGATTTTTTTTAAAGTGAGTAAACACCATACTTTGAAATTGATGAGTTGACTTTATTTAAAGCGAGTAAACTTGTTGCTTTTAAAGAAATTAGTTGACTAAAAAAGTGAGAACAAGTAACAAGTTCAGTGATAAGTTGACTTTTCTTTAAAATGTGAGTAAACTTTACTTAATAAAGTGAGGAAACCAGATGCTTTTAAAATTATTAGATGACTTTACATTTCAAAAAGTGAGAAAACACATAGTTTTTAAACAGATTAGTTGACTAAAGCGATTAGTTGACTTAAATTGAAGATCTCCTTTTGTGGTATGCAAAAGCAAGAAAAGCATACAGCATTGGAATAACACCAGGGTGAGTAAATAACATTTTTGAATGAATGAATCATTTTAACTGAAATAATATTGCATTTAGCGTTACAACAATGAGAACACTTTAAAAAAAAAGGCTACTGAAAATTAGTTAGGATGATTATTATCTAGATAAAACAAGATTCTGTTTTGGTGTGAAATGTAACCCAGACATTTTCCTATGGAATTAACTCTGTTGAAATGCGGTCCAACTTCAGAACTAGGCTCTTGTTTAACAAAATTCAAAAAAAAAAAAAAAAAAAAAAAAAAAAAACAGAGCACACGGTCATACTTTAGATAATATAATGACAAAAACTACCTAGTAGACAAAAATATTTAGATGATAAACACTGTATATAGTATTATTTTAGTAACAGAAAATAAAGAAACCCATTTTAAGATAATAATGTTTTCATAAGTAAGATGTTTTGCTATAAAACTTCAGATCCTAAGCTATGTACAATACTAAATCTCGATATACAGGACATATTCATAAAAATAGACTGTGTGAAAAGGTACTATTGCATTGAAACTGGATGATAATATACATTTAATATTTATTTTGTACAACTGTTCGTATTAACTGTAGGTGTGGGCGACCACCAGGATGATGTTTAATATTTTAAACAATTCGTCCAATAATGAAATCTATGTCTTCAGATACTCATTGTGTGTATATATATATACACACACACACACACACACACACACACACACACACACACACACACACACACACACACACACACACACACACACACACACACACACACACACACACACACACACACACACACACACACACACAAACACACACACACACACACACACACACACACACACACACAGTAGAGGGCAAAAGTATGAGCCATTTTTGTATTATGAATTTTTTTCTAATATTTCTCAAGTGATATTTAATAGATTAAGTACATTTTCACAGTATTTCCTATAATATTTTTTCTGCTGAAGAAAGTCTTATTTGTTTTATTTCGGCTAGAATAAAAGCAGTTTTAATTTTTTTTTATTGTCAATATTATTAGACCCCTTAATCAGTTTTTTTTTATTAGCTACAGAACAAACCACTGTTTTATAAGGACTTGCCTAATTACCCCCAAGGCTAATTTATACTTCTGCGTCAAGTGTATGCATAGGCTACGGCGCAGCATACGCATGGATGCATAGCTCTCGCTGTGGCCATTGGCGGCGTTGACGCACACCTCTCAAAAAAATTTAACTACATGTTGCAACGACGTGTAGTGCAAGCTCTAGGATTGGTCGGCTTGGTAATGCTCACGAGTGTTGGCAGAGGTGAGAGCCGCGCAAGAGTGGAGTCTCATGAAGGTGCTCCGGATAGAGACTGTTGTACTGTGTTTACCTTATGAATAAAGTTGTTGCCCGTCCGCCAATTCCAGCCAGAGTTTGAGCCACTTGTACATTAAGGTAGTGTTCAGAAAAAAACAAAACACCAGCGAAGAAACACGACACAGAAACATAAACACCTACTGTGAGCTAGTGTTTTGGAAGTGTTATTGCAGAGCAACACACGCACCGCACTGAAGTATAAAAGCTCGGCTACGTGCATTGCATGCGACGTGTGTGACGCCGATCACTTGATGCAGTAGTATAAACCAGGATTAAGGCTGACTTATACTTCTGCATTAAGAAGCACGCACCTCTCAAAAATTTGACTACACGTCGCAATGACACGTAGCGCAAGCTCTGTGATTGTTTTGTGTTTACCTTATGACTAATGCTGTTGCACGCCCACCAATTCCTGCCACTGAATGACTCTGAATGGCCTCTGAGTTTTAGCTACTTTTACATTTCGGTAAGCGCAAGCTCTGTGATTGGTCGGCTTGGTAGCTGTGATGAGTGTGGGCGGTGCTGATAGCCGCGAGCTGGATGGAGCGAGTGTTTACAAGTGTGGAATCCCGTGAAGGAGCCCCAGAGAAAAACTATTGTTTTGTGTTTACCTTATGATTAAAGTTGTTGCATCTCTGCTGGTTCCAGCCTCTGAATAAGCGAGTTTTAGCTACTTTTACATTTCAGTAGCGTTCAGAAAAAACAAAACACCTGCGAAAAAACTTGACACAGAGGAGCATAAAAGCCTACTGCCAGCTAGTGTTTTGGAAATGTTATTGTAGAGTAACACAAACAGCGAACAGCAGTATAAACGCACGTCTACGTGCAAGGCAGGCACCGTGGGTCACGCCTATTACTCAATGCAGAAGTATAAATCAGCCTTAAAGGCTGATATATACTTCTGCGTTAAGGGCACACATATGGTCCGGCACAGCCTTTGCGCGATCGCATAGCCCTCGCCTTGGCTGACGCAGGCGCGCACCTCTCAAAAAAATGTAACTACACGTTGCAACAACGCATGGCGCAAGCTTTGTGATTGGTCAGCTTACGCAGGTGCTGACAAGCGTGGGCGGTGCTGAGAGTCGCGAGTCCGATGGAACAAGTGTTTACAAGTGTGGAGTCCCCTGTAGGAGCTCCAGATGAAAACTTTTGTTTTGAGTTTACCTTATGATTAAAGTTGTTGCAAGTCCACCGGTTCTAGCCTCTGAATGAGTGAGTTTCAGCTACTTGTACATTAAGGTAGCGTTCAGAAAAAAACAAAACATTGCATTTTAATGAAGTATTAATGAAGACGCAGAAGTACAAATCAGCCTTAAGTTGCCTAGTTAACCCAATTAAGCATTTAAATGTCCCTTTAAGCTGAATACTAGTATCTTCAAAAATATCTAGAAAAATATTATGTACTCTTATCATGGCAAAGATAACAAAAAATCAGTTATTAGAAATTAGTGTTTAGAAACGTGTTGAGAAAAATCTCTCCATTAAACAGAAATTGAGGAAAAATGTAACAATTTAACTGGAGGGCTAATAATTCTGACTTCAACTGTATATGTATGATTTAATCACACTCCTAAAAACATACTTACTTTAGTATATGAAACGACAACAATCACACATATTTTTCATTTATGGACAAAGCTTTCCTATAAACAGACTAAACTAATTTTACATTTGAATAATGCAACAAATGAGGTCCATTTAAATCTGAAATATCATTTTCGTATTCTTAAATGATTATATAAGAGCTTGATGATCAGAGAACTCTTTGAACAATATTTTAGTCATACTGCACTGAGTAAAATAATGCCACAAAAGCATCCAATGACACATATGAATGGGATAGTTCAGGAAAAAAAAAAAACATGTTATTAACTTTGATTCAATGACTACATTTACATAGACACCAGAAGTCGAATTGTTTGCCTTAATCTGAATATGACATTAATGTAATTAAGATGTTTACATGAGTTGCTTTTTGAATGTTCCTTTCATGACCCCTATTTACATGTTATAGACCGATTTCATGCGGCAGCCATTTTAAAAGCGAAATCAAGTCTGCGGTGGGAAGAAACCCGAAAGTATCGCCTGAGTCACACAGGGACGTTGTGTACCTGGCTGTATGTCTTATCAGCTAAGAGAAAGTGACACATTTATCATTTCACAGCCTTCAGAGTGACTCGAATGTTCGTTCTGAATGCGTAGTGAAAATAAAAAGGCATATCAGACCTCATTTTCAGCTTAGTTAAGGGAAATGTTAATGAACTGATTCTTTCACCCTATAATGCTGTTCACACCAGACGTGATACGCCTGGATAAATGGAGCTATTCGCGTAAATAGACGCATGAACATTGAGTTTACACGCTTCATTCGCTCGTCAAATTCACTGAACAATAGATGCGGATTTGCGTCATATGCGGGGCTTCTGTCTGCCCAATGACTGTAGCTTCATTGCTAAATGTCTAACATGGTTTTTATTAAGAAAATTACTGTGTTAATGTGCTGTATGAAAGCTCAAAATCGTTGATTCATTTGCGCTACGTCATAAGCATGCCACAAGAGCAAGCTCCTGATTGGTTAAAGTGGCGCGATTACGAGCATTAAGCGTGTCATTCGCGCAAAGCGCTCAATTCACGTCGCTTCATTCGTGCAAATCGGGCCATCTCATTCGCGCGGATTGTGCTACATGATTACTTAGCATTAGATTTGTCACGATACTGAAATAAATAAAAAAAAGTACATTTCCTGCTAACATTTAAGCACTGTTGAATGCTTATTCGCCATTGTGTTCACTTGCTCAGCAGAAATGACTGTGATTGGCCTTAAAGGTCATCAGTTTACTGCACTTCACCAATGTTTACTGAGTGCAAACCTTCGCGGCTTTAAAATGCTCCAGTGTCCCTGCATTTGTGTTTGCACTCGGTGAAGAGTGGTGAACTGATGACCTTCACAGCCAATAAATCGCTCAGCGGCACTTAAATGTTGGGGGGAAATGGACGTTTTTAAAATTTCAGATCCAGGACAACACTTTAAAAGACAACATGTTTTAGCGCCCACCAAGTTACATAGACTGAAGCAGATAAGCTTTCTCATGGTGTTTACCTGGTGCCATGAACTGAAGTCTAGGAGGACACTTAAGGTTAAACGTATTACTCCTAAAGACATTATGATTTTCTTTGGTGCCTAATATGCTTTGTTTGTTTAAATAAACTTAACTCAGTGATATTAAAGTGATGTTTACACCACATCTGCATTTTGAAATCGCAGCAACAGCTGAAGGTTTGTAGTCCACAGCATGTTGTTGCAATGTTTACAGTGCTGATCCTATACTTCCGGTCTCTTTCCACCACAGCCTCGCTTTCGTTTTTAAAATGCTCGACGCGTGAAATAAGTGTATATAGCACATAGATCGATTAACCTCATTGCGTCACAGCGCTATCCAACGTTTCCTCTGGAGTTTCAGGTCAATTTAAGTGTTTCTCTTTCAATTTTTTAACTTTAACTGCAGTTCGGCAGTTTCACTATCATTCAGGAACAATTTATTTATGCCCCTGCAGGACAAACTGAGGTATTGGATGCGAGTATGAAGTAAGGACTCCTGGAAGAGTGTCGCTTTAATGGAATTTGATAACGCACACTGAATAGGAACCAAAAAAAAACTCGGCATTTCACGATGCAGGTGTCTGTGGTCCTTTACTGACTCGGTAGGAGCAAAGAATAGTGTCAAACAGCCGTGTGAGTGTGAAATATCCTGTCGCAAAATGCAGCAAAAACTCCTACATGACGACAATAGTTTGATTAAAGTGTATACATGTCTGTACCGCACTTCAATAATGCGACTAAAATCGGCATAATCCATGTGTCATAATTCCACTTCTGTTTAGTTTAATTATGACTTTAGTCGGATTAAAATCGCTGCTTGCATAATAGACTCTTAATCAAAGTATTGTCTTAATCATATTAAAATCGGATTATAGGTGTCCATGTAAACATTCTCATTGTTGGATGAACTTTCCCCTGAAGTTACACTGAGATCTAAAGTGAGGATTAAGGGATGCTATTAAACAGTTTAGCAGCTGAAACTGAGCAGAACTGGAACGGATGTGGAGATGGAAGAACATACACACACACACACACATATTGGTTTCTGTTAACTCACTCTGTCCTGTTTCCACTCAGGAGGGCATGGAATAATTAAGTCTCACATAAACGAGTTATTGTGTGTAGAATGAAAAATCTGTTCACTAAAACGCTAAGAGAAAGTCATTTTCATCAATATGATGATATTGAGAAGGTTATGTGTCCAGTCTGAAAGATGCGCTTTTTTTTTTGCTGTTAAAATGCAATAAATAAAACCAGCTGAACACATGACTAGAGTAAACCTGAAGGAGTTTGAAGAAGAAAGAAACACCTGCATAGTATTTGAGCTAACCAGAGGGCTGCAAGTGAGGCATTGTGGAATAGAAATCAACCACAGACTCAGCACTATGTGTCGCCTGTGGATGAACACACACCTGCCTCTGAGTTACCTGAAACGGAAAGGAAAAACAAAACATTCAACAAATTCAACACATATTGCAAAATACAATTGAATTCAAAATTATTAGCCCCCCCTGTATTTTTCCCCAATTTCAATTTTTTTTTTTAAACATAATAGTTTAAATAACTCATTTAATAAGTAATAACTGATTTCCTTTATCTTTTACATGTTGGCAGTATATAATATTTTACTAGATATTTTTTAATATTCAGCTTAAAGAGTTTTTAAAGGCTTAACTAGATTAGTTTGGTTAATTAGGCAAATAATTGCATAACAGTGTTTGTTTTGTAGACTATCGAAAAAATAGCTTAGGGGGGCTAATAATATTGACCTTATAATAGATTTAAAAATATTAAAAACTGTTTTTACTCTAGCTGAAATAAATCAAATAAGACTTTCTTCGGCAGAAAAAAAATTAATAGGAAATACTGTGAAAGGTTTTTTGCTCTGTTAAATATTATTTAGGGGATATTTAATAGCAAAAAAAAAAGAAAGAGAAAAAAAAAAAAAAATCACAGGAGGGCTAATAATTCTGGCTTCAAATATATATCAAAACAAAATATCGCAATGTCAGATTTTTCCAATATTATGCAGCCCTAGTAGTACCAGCCGGGCGTTGTTCTGGGAGTTCACCTGGAGCAGGTGTAGCCGCAGTGGGAGGCGTGCGGGACTCGTCGTCATCACTGAAGCGAATGATCTCTCCGTCAGGAAGCGCAGGCTGACCGTCAGACTCCTGCCCGCTGATGCTCCTCAGCGCAAGGATGCGATGATGCAGGGCCGCAAACAGCTGGGCAGCGTCCTTAGAGCTGGACTGACAGAGCCAAAGAAGAGAAGAGATGAGATGCAGCATGTAACACTGGCAACCAGTGTTGGGGGTAATGCATTTCAAGTAACACTCGTTACATAATAATATTACTTTTCTAAGAAATTTTTTTTTAAATTCCTGTGAGTTACACTTTAGCTTAATTTATTAGCTTTTAAAACAAAATGGCTGAATTAATATTAACATAGGTTGAATCCTGCACTGGATGAAAGAATGCAGGAACAGACAGAAATCAAGATGGCAGAGCTTTACACAAGTAGCAAACACACTGCTTTAAACGCTCATTAATCTGTATATAAGGCATGTATAGTTATCAAGAAGTTCTCAGAAGATAAAATTGTCCTAAATTATTATTTTTTATGTGTAAATGAAGTAAATGAAGATTATACAATGTGTTGTTAATTAAAATAATTTATAAAAAAAAAAAAAAAAAAAAACTGCAAGTTCTGAAAAAGATCATTACTTACCATAAAACGTAACTAAGTAAGGCAACTAATTACGTTTTTTGGGGAGTGACTCAATAATGTAACGCATTACTATTAAAAGTAACTCTCCCTAACACTGCTGACAACCTCCCAAAACTGTTTAATACAGCCATAGGCAGTCTTACAGATATGAGGAAGACTTTGACACCCTGCTCCTCGGTGTCTATCGCTGTTATCCGGAGACTCTTCTCACTGGCTTTATCCACCTGCATCTGAGGCCAGAGCTTAGTGTTGAGGATCACTCGAAGACTTCCTTGAGTCCGCATGACTGCAAGCCACAAACAAACAGCTCTTATTGAATGGGTAACACTTTAGATTAGGTCACAATTCACAGTATTAACAAACCATTAACTAAAAGTGCTAACTTTATAAACTACTGATTAGCTGTTTATTGATAGTTAGTAAGGTAGAAGTTCATGCTATTTACCACTGGCTTATTACCTGCCTATTATTTAGATATTAACTGTTCATTAGTAGTTATAAATCTTATTCTGCATCCCTAATTTTACCCAAAACCTAAAACCAACTTTTACCTTTAGCAAACTTGTTGATAAAACAAAACTTTCCAGATAGTTGGAAGACAGCAATAATTATACCGATTTATAAATCTGGCGATAGAGATGTTGCTTGTAATAACAGGCCTACTGCCATTCTACCTGTAGTTTCAACAGTGCTGGAGAAAATTGTTGTGGAACATTTAATGGAGCATTTACACTCTAATCAGCTGCTTTATCCACAGCAGTTTGGTTTTAGAGAGAAATATTCCACAGAAACTAGGGCTGTGCAATTAATCGAAAATCCGATTTCGATTTCGATTATGGCTTCTAACGATTATGAAAAACCATTATTCGAGATAAACGATTATTCCATTGTTTATCGCCCCCTGTCCAGTCGTCCTCACTTGTTGCTTTTAAAAGCGCGAAATCATATCATGATTAATAAAACAACGAGAAAATCCCTCTCTGCTCTTGACTGAAGGACTTCTGTAGCTAAAGTGTTTTTCTTACGGTGAAGATGCTTAAAGCACAGTTTGTTTCATATTTTTATTCTATTGTATTTATTTCTCTTTCCTTTGCAGGGAGGAAAATAATATATGCAGTTGAAGTCAGAATTAGCCCTTCTGAATATTAGCAACCCTTTTCCTCCCCAATTTCCGTTTAATGGAAAGAAGTTTTTTTTCAACACATTTCTAAACATAATAGTTTTAATCACTCATTTTTAATAACCGATTAATTTTATCTTTGCTATGATGACAGTACATTATATATTAGTAGATGTTTTTTTGAATACAAACATTCAAATTCAAAGTGTGATTCAAAGGCTTAATTAGGGTAATTAGGCAAGTCATTGTATAACAGTAGTTTCTTCTGCAGACAATCAAAAATATATAGTGCCTAAAGGGGCTAATAATATTGACCTTAAAAGAAAAAAATTGCTTTTATTCTAGGCAAAACAAAACAAATAAGCCTTTCTCCAGAAGAAAAAATATTAGAGGAAATACTGATAAAATTCCTTGCTCTGTTAAACATCATTTGGGAAATATTTATTTTAAAAAAATTCTCAGTAGTGCTAATAATTTTGACTTCAACTAATAATCGTTTGGAATAATCGCGATTACAATTATGACCAAAATAATCATGATTATGATTTTTCCCAATATCGAGCAGCCCTAACAGAAACAGCAAATTGTTATCTACTTGAAAAAAGAAAGGTCACTGGATTAAGGTAGTGTGGTTGGGGCAGTGTTCCTGGACCTAAAGAAAGACTTTGACATGGTTAACAACAGTATCTTACTAAATAAATTAAGCAAGTTTAAAATGTCAGCAGATGTATTTGCACCCCCTTGTGTCAGTTTAACAATCTGCAGACATCTGTTTGAGGGATAGTTTATCCCAAAATTAAAAGTCATTTCCTTACCCTCTACCTATTTCAAACCTTTATGAGTTTCTTTCTACTGTTGAACACAAAAGAAGATATATGAGGTAATCTAGAAGCCTGTAACATTGACTTCCATTATATTTGTTTTTCCTACTATGGAAGTCAATGGTTACAGGTTTCCAGCTTTCTTTAAAATATCTTTTTTTGTGTTCAATATGCACATATTAAAAATGCGCATGAAAAATAGGTGGATAGAAACGTAGCTACTGACTGGATTTCTTTACATATCCACAGTTCCCACTCAAAGAATTACAAATTCTGACTTTCCATGATCTATAAGGAAGAGAAAAACAGGCCACTCTTGTGATTTGCATAATATTAAAGTGGTTTTAGCTTGAATATTATTTTGCAGGACCTAAATAGCCACTATGAGACCAACAATTAATAATTTTGATAGATTTAATAGATTTTGAAAAAAAAGTACTTTCTGTTTGCGAGCAAAGGAATGGATAATACAACAATATGGGGTGACTGGATTGAGTTTGAATCCCTTACATGCTGAGATTCTTTAAACTCAATAAACTAACTGTGTATTCACACCGAAGGCAGTGAGTGCTTCAAAGGTCGCACTGGCCATCTTGGCGACAACGCTGTCTGTCTTCAGCTCCGGTGGCGGGAGCGTCAAAATTTGCAAAAATTTGCAACAACCTATTATTTGGGTAGCACACATATTCTGAATGCTTTCGGCAGAATTCAAATGAGACATTTTAATCTAGATCAATTCCAAGATTACAATGAGATTAATCTAGATCAGGGGTGTCAAAACTACGGCCCGCGGGCCATCTGCGGCCCGCCATCAGTTTTGTGGTGGCCCGCGAGGCTTTTTATAAATTTCAATAGAATCTGGCCCGCTATACAAAAATAAACATAATTCAATAAACAACCACCGGGTGTCGCTATCACATGCATTCAATTAAGCAGCAGTTCTTGTTATGATCTATCTATCTATCTATCTATCTATCTATCTATCTATCTATCTATCTATCTATCTATCTATCTATCTATCTATCTATCTATCTATCTATCTATCTATCTCTATCTATCTATCTATCTATCTATCTACACACTGTTGAAGTCAGAATTATTAGCCCCTCTTTGATTTATTTCTTCTTTTTTAAATATTTCCTAAATAATGTTTCACAGAGCAAGGAAATTTTCACAGTTTGTCTGATAATATGTTTTCTTCTGGAGAAAGACTTATTTGTTTTATTTTGGCTAGAATAAAAGCAGTTTTTAATTTTTTATGAACCATTTTAGGGTCAAAATTATTAGCCCCTTAAGTCTTCAGAACAAACCATTGTTATAAAATAACTTGCCTAATTACCTTAATTTGACTAGTTAACCTAATTAACCTAGTTAAGCCTTTAAATGTCACTTTATGCTGTATAGAAGTGTCTTGAAAAATATCTAGTCAAATATTATTTACTGTCATCATGGCAAAGATAAAATAAATCAGTTATTAGAGATGAGTTACCAAAACTATTATGTTTAGAAATGTGTGAAAATATCATATATATATATATATATATATATATATATATATATATATATATATATATATATATATGCGTGTCTGTGTGATGTATGTAAAATTTGGCCCGGGACAACGTTTTTTTTTTTTTTTACATCTGGCCCTCGGCCCAAAAAGTTTGGACACCCCTGATCTACATTAAAAAATAATCTTTGCCCACCTATAGTTCATACTTATAATTCAAGCTGTTAATGGTATCCCTGTATATGCTAAATGTCATGACTGTATCTACATTTATTTGTTAAAATGGTAGAATAATTTTTTTTTTAAATAGCATGGAAATGTAAAATAAATAAAAAAATATATAAAATAAAAATAAAAAACTACTTTTTAATAAATGAAAATAATGAAAATCCCTGATATTCTATTACTCGTACAAAAACATTTTAAATCCATTATATTCCCAAAAAAATATGGGAATTCATGTATATTCATCATTTCCCATTTTCTTCACTATAAACAAGCATTAAAACTTAGGCAAATACACGTCAAACTATAAAACGCAGCATTACCCAATCTGGACTGTAGAGTGCCGTCATCGGTGGATGTCTTGTCATTGAGTCTGAGAACTCCACATCCTCTCTCCACCCACGACTGAGACAACATCTCAAACACGAACAATTTACACTGCATCTGAAAAACACAGTAAAGTTCAGCGTCAGCTTCTTGTGTGTCTTTACGGACAGATCAGCTTTGAGATCTGCTCTCACCTGCAGCACATTGCTCTCAGACTCCTCTCCTGTCCGGACCTCCACTCGCTCTAGCAAACACTTCTGTGGCTTGTGTGCTTCGTGTCTCGCCGCTGACTCCTCCAGAGATTCTTTCATATTGTCACCTACAGCAACATAGATTAATCTTCAATAAGCAGAATATTTTTTTTTAATTATATATAATGCAAACTATTATACAGTCTGTAATATAATGTATAGATTCAGCAAATGCTAATGAGTTTTTAATACCGCATGGCTTTCCTTGTTCCTAGTTTTTTCCATGATAGATTGTTTACAATGATGCCTTTACAACATTGATTGAGTGATTAGATGATTACACAATACATCTGAGTAAGATCTACTGTTTCTTAAATATAGCTTATAATGTTTAGTTATCATATCTTGCTATAATAATACAAAAACTCTTTGTCTCTCCATTTGTCAGTGTGAATGTGATCGGATCTGAAACATACTCTTCTCCACAGTTTGCTCTTGTGTAGATGAAAGCTGGCTGAACAGGCCCATCTCTGAACCCGACTCTCTACTGCCTCCTGGTGCATCGGTGGTGAATTTCGGCAGAGCCTGGAAGCGTTCGATACGGGTGGGATTGAGTGATAAACAAGACTTAAACATCGGGAACTGTGATCTATAACTTGACTGTATTAAACTATGACACACACACAAAAGGAATTTACTGCTTTACCACAACGCGATCCAACATGTTCTGTCCAAAGACAAACTTCACACTGTTGGCATTGCTGCTGTCAGGTTTTTGTGCGCTATAAGAAACAATATCAATGCCAGGAAACATTACAAGATTCTGCATGAGGGGATCTGTAAAAAAAGTCTTTAAATATGAACATTTGAACTGCAATACCTGGGAGTGATGCACTGCAAGAAGTAGTTAGTTTCCCCAGAATTTTCTGTCTGAAGGCCATCGGCTTTCTGTGAGGAGTCCAAACTGTTTCCCACCTGGAAGAAAATACAATTTAACATTCAAAAGCAAAGCAAAACATCAAAACATATATTTTTTCACATTCAATATATTGATATAAGTTAAGCTTTTTTATTATTATTATTATTAAAAGGAATGGGTAATATGACAACGAAATCGTGATATGTTAAAAAATAAAATAAAAACAAAATATAAATGAAACATTATTGTCAATTACTTTAACTTAAGGGTAAATAAATAACTTAAGGGTAAAAACGGAACTATCAAATCTAAACTAAAACATTAAAATCTAGTTTAAAATAATAATGATGATTTAACAGTGTTTTTTAAATACAAAGGGCCCCATCATAAACACAGCGCAATAAGGCGCAAGACGTGTTTGGCATGATTTGTTGCTATTTTCAGATCAGCGCAACTGTAATTTTTACATTTTCACCATGTTGAGTAAATAGCAAATTCATTTGGTGTGTACAACACCGTTTTATTACTCTACGAAAGTAAAGGAGAAAAAAAAATAGGAAAAGTAAAGAGAAAGTTGAGAAAGGCTGAACGGAGGAGGCTCTTTCTTTATAATCGTGCTGCAGATGGTTTAACTGTTTTCATGCTAGTGAAGGGTTCAGTTTTTCCACTTATAAAGTCCGCCATGTTAATAGCAAATGTGCCATGGCATGACGCAACTGACTCGTAAAAGGAATAGGAGATGAGACTCTGATTGGTTTAAAGCTCTGCTCAAAACACACCTGTAACTCATTAAGAAAATAAACACAACCCTGTTAGACCATGCGTCGGGGCTGCAGACCAAATTTTTCTGTCCTTAAAATAGCAAAAGTCGATTGGGACAAGTCCTTAATGCTTTTGTGCCATGTGCTTTAGACTTTGCGACTAGATTGTTAAGTCTTTTGCAGGATGGCCTGTGATGTGGGTAGGTTTATTTGATTTTATTTAATATGTAATATGTGGACATAATATGTAAAAATAGAGAATTCTTTAATCTGAAACTCAGTCTTCAACTTTTTGTCAAAATAATAATAATGATGAGTAGGCCCACACGGAATCTGCACAAGCAGATTTACGGAGATTTTTAGCCCATCATTGAGGCTATTTATTTACTTGTAAATTTTTGTTCATAAGATTTATTTACAACAAAGTTTGTAAAGTAATATTTTATGTCTTTTAGCAGATATATTATATGAGATACTTGCTTAGTTTACCAAACAATGGATCTAATTGGATTTGCATTGTAAACATTAAATACAAGTTTAAAATGTATTACTTTTATTTCATATTAGGTTTCAGATTTTTTACCAAATTCTGGGCAGAAATAGCAAAAAATGTTAGCAGATTCTGTCTGCCCTAATGACAAGCAACATTTGGTAGTACACACTACTGTTCAGAAGTTTGGAGTCGGGAAGATTTGTTAATGCTTTTAATTCAAAACAAAATACTGTAGAAGTGTAAAACATTATTCAAATTTTAAATACGAGTCAATATTATTGTATAGCTTAAAATGCTACTTTTGTGTTAAATCTGAATATTAGCATTCAGTGATTTGATCCAAAATCATTCTAATACAATCATTTAGTTCTTATTTCTCTATCGCATTATCACTGCGGTCAACATTTGAGCTCCATAATAATTTTGTGAAAACTGATATATATATATATATTATATATATATATATGTATATATGTATGTGTGTGTGTGTGTGTATATATATATAGATATATATATAGATTAGTAATGATTTAAACTTTTGTAACATTATAAATTAGTCTTTGGTGAAATTAATACACTTTGCAGAATTCAAGTATTAATTTCATTTAAAAAATTATAATAATGGACTGCAACTTTAGTGCAGATTTTTAATTAACATTCACTATTGTTATGTGGTGACTTCTAAACAAAATTCTGATAATGATGCAAACAAACCACTGAAGCACTTTCAACATAATTCTTTGAAATGGTCCGTGCTTTTACATGAATTGAACTTTACTATGTTTATATATCAGAAGCTATAAAAATTATCCAAATCAACTGAATTAAACCTTTGCTCTGTCCCTCATATTCTCTCCAAATACAAAACTGGCATCAATCTGGGCACCGTGTTGCTCTGGTTTGTCATCTGTTTCGGGCTCCAAAGTGCTCTTGTCCTTAAAAAACAATGAAAGGTAATTTAAGTTAAAGGTGTGACCAGTCAAACATTTTGTTCAGTTTTCAGCGTACACGTTTCACAATTTCATCTAGAAACACAGGGTCAGCCAAGAAAAACGAAGTTGTTCAGAACAAGATGATAAAGTATTTTCTGGAAGCCACAGCCATGTAAAATAAAACGAAACTTGTCTGGCTTCTGGACCAGAGCCCGTGCTGCGTTCAAACACGCTTATCTTGAAGAAAAACACAGTGTTTAAACATTACAGTGGCCCATAAAAGTATGTAGACACTTAATCCACAATTTAAAAATATATTAACATTTTAAATATACATAGAAAATAAAGTATTATAGTGGGATTGTTATTGAAATTGATTAGAGAGTGCACATTTTTCAAGCAAAATGTTTTGCAAAATATAATTTTTTATAGCAAGTTAGCTCCATTGATTAAAGTATTTTGAACAGTGTTGATAAAGTAAATTTGTACCAAGCGTGTACTTTATTTTTAAAAAGGTAAAAGTACCAGCCTTTCTGCAGCACTGCATGATCATGCCGGTACTACCCACCAAAATGCACCTCATAGTTTTTGCGTGACAATTTAAAGCAGACAACAGTGCTGTTTGGGACATGGCTTTAAGTGTGTCGTATCTTACCAATGACTCCGAATTTTCCTGAGTGCCAGCAGCGGATGCCTCTGAGTGACCTTCACATTCTGTTCCTCCATCTGAGAGCTTTTTCACTCCATTTGAACTGTTGCTGCTTATGTCTGGTGAAAGAAAAAGACGTCAGCTGTCACCTGCTGTGCTTCCCCTTCAGCTTTTCTCTGTGAGAGGATCTTCGTGGTGTACTCACTGTTCTGAGGGGGGCTTTTGACCGGAGGGGGCTGCAGGACGGGAGGCCTCAGGATGCTCCGCTGGGCTTCTTTGGGTTTTGGACTGGGGACACCTGAAAGAAACCAATTAAATAACAATTAACATTAAGAAAGCCTCAGCATCTATATTGCAATGTGCGTCTTCAATAGTCACATCATCATCCCAATGCAAAGTATAACCATAAGCGAGTGAAAGTTTATCATTTGCTTGTGTTTTAAAGGAACGCTTCACCTATTTTTGAAAATGGCTTGTTTTACAAGTCTCCTTGTCAACTTCAACCATTTTTGACTACATTCAGCCAATTTCTTTGTTCTGGCAGGGTCACTTTAGCTTAGCATAATGGATTAAAACAGATATGAGCCCCCCTCAGAACAGTGCCCCCCTTAGAACAGTGATCTTCCAGCCTAAACCACGGCGAATGAAGCTCTGCACAAGACTTTTGGCCAGCGGAGAAATTAAAATGGTCGTGCCCAACTGAGTCTGGTTCTCTCAAGGTTTTTTTTCTTCACTCCCATCAGGTGAAGTTTTTTTTTCCCTCTCCGCTGTCGCCACTGCCTCGCATGGTTCAGGATTGGTAGAGCTACGCATCGATGAATTTGCTCTTCAGTGTTTGAACTCTCAGTAATGATTAAATCACACTGAACTGAGCTAAACTGAACTGAACTTAAACACTAAAACCTGAACCACACTGTTCCAGTTACTATGACCATTTATGTGAAGCTGCTTTGACACAATCTACATTGTAAAAGCGCTATACAAATAAAGCTGAATTGAATTGAATTGAATATGACCATTAGCATTTAATAAAAAAAAAAGTAAAAAACTGTTGTTTTTTATTTAAAGATGCTGAGTTTTTGACTCTTCTAAAGCATAAAAATACCTTAAAATATTTGCAGATTTTTAACAGTTTAAAGTTCGCAGTTCAGCCAATTACATTTCAGCACTCTGCGTTGCCTTGGTTGAAAACCGCATATTTCATTCATTCAGTCAGGAAGGCTCACAAAGTGTGCATGGTGAATGAAATGGGACCTCCAGTGGACAGTAGCAGACTCCGAAATGAGATGCAGATTCAGAGTTCCACATGAGGTGGTTATTAATTAGCAAAAAGTATAAATATTGTGAACGTAAACATTAGGTGAGCAGGTTACATTAACCCCGTGTACTAACAACACACTACGTAACGAGATTTGTTTTTCTGATAAACAAGAATGTTCACTTGTACTCACACTATATACAGTGGCCTTGAACCGGGCCAAAGCACGATTGTCGCCCCCTCCCGTCTCCCCCGATGGCCCGCACTCACATCACATTCAGGCCTGGGCATGTTTACGTCATCGATAATGCGCTGTTCAGCAAGCGACTATCGCTTTAGTCGTTTGGGATGCGGTGACACGTAGTCAAATATTTCGTCGAATAGATCAGCCACTTCTGACGCTCATAAACAATCATAAAGTCCTCGTGCTGCAGGAATGAGGAGGTTTGCTGAAGGTGCAGCTGTCGTGCAGTGAGGGGTTTGCGTCTTTAATAAACTATGACAGTTTGCGTTTATTGAACAGTAAAAATGATTAATAAATCCGTATATCCCTTAAAAGTCACGTCCCGCTTTCAGTTTCTGACTCAGGCACGTTTTGCACCCACACAAGCAAACAGAGCCAAAGCCCAAGTGAACCGCACTCTGGCACACCTTATCCAACCGGGCCAGGGCCGGCCAAGTGAACTGTGCCTGAGCCCGATTGAGAGCACTCACACTTCTCAAACGATCCGGGAAATGGGGCTGGGCACGGTTCGGATAGCATAGTGTGATGTAATGTTTCTTAAATATCTGCAAACTTATTATGGTATTTTACGCTTTAGAAGAGTAAAAAACTTACATACAGCCCTTTTAACCTTAATATTAATAGCACAATCATATTATTAACTGACAAAATCATTAATTACAAATTATTCTGGTGTACGTTTACTTTTAACTGCAAAGAATTTGTAAATCAGAACCCTGGTGACAGAAACGCATCCGTCAACCCTGTCAAGACCTCTTATGTTTTCTGATTCAGAAGGATCACAGTGTGAATGTGAGTGCTTGGAGCCGTGTAAATAAACAAGCTCATGAAAACAGCACAACTGGACATTAATCAACACGCTGTACAAAACAGCAGATGTTCCAACACTGACTCACCAGCACTCGGAGCCTGGCCGTGGATCAGAGTCGGGGGCTTCAGGCGAAACCCCACAGTCTTCTCTTCTAATCAAAAAAGTCAAGTAAAGAAAACAAGATTGGTCGATGTGATCGGAAATCGAACACATACTACTTTCAGACAATTTACATATTGTGCAAATATTTGTCTTGGTAAACTTTCAAAACAACATTATTTTACAAGTCTGTTTAACAAAACACCATTTGATTTCCATTCATGATGTTCATACGGTGGCTGAGAGAGCTTAACCAAAGTCATTTCTCATCTGTTCTGAGCCCCTCCCCCTGAGAATCATCAGTCTATATAGCGATCAATAATTGGTTCCTGTACTAAAAGGTGAGGCATCATTCGCCATATTGACTGTTCCCCATTCAAAACTATACGAGTGACACGTCTTATGCATTCTATAATCTTTGGTGTTATCAGCAGAAACATGCAACATGCAACGACTTCATCGGTTTGACAGGACGCGTGTTGTAAGCACAGACTGTAAAAGTTATGGAAGTAGTATCCATGATGTCACCCATAGGTTTCTGAAAGGCGCAAATAAAGCTAGTAGGCGTGGCCAACCGGCGCCATTTGGTTTGGTAAAATGTGTAATCTTTACTGTTGTTTCTCAGTTACAGTGCAAAAAAGTGTGTGTGAGAGTGTAAGAGAGACCTGTTTGAGAAAATCAAAAATAAGCTGCTCAGCTCTCAGAACACAATAAACATAGTAAGTCTATTAATTAAGTCTGTAACACACTATCAATTGCGGTTTTACTCCATAGAATTCAATATAAAAGCCAGATGAAAGGCGTCCCATGCTGCAAAAATCACATTACAGTACATGCTTTTACAAATTTTCATGAGAAACGGAGCTTTGCAGTGAAACAAATGCGTACTGCTGTAAAGGGGGCGGGATTTCACACAATAATCGTTTTATCTCGATTAAAGTAAACGTTGGAAGCTAAAATCGAAACTGAATTTCAAATAATTGCACAGCCCTTGTTGCAGTGTGTTAAGCTCTCTCGGCCACAGTATGTTCAAAGTACATTTAAAGCAAATCTAAATCTTACCAGGTTCAGAGTCTGAGTTTTCAGTTGGTGACTGACAGAGACTGGATGGCATGAAAACATTATTCTTAGACACTGCAAAAAGAGGGGAATTTTTTTTGTCAAAAATAAACAAGGCTAAACAGAAGAAGCGCTTAATGTAAGATGAAGAATTGTCAATATTTTTCTAAATCTCTGGCTGACCGGAATGAGTTGGTGGGAACTGTGTAAATGGTGACGTTCGGCCTCTTTTGGCAGCAGGGCTGTAACTGCCATCTTCTTTATCTGAGTCTGTGGCAAAAAACAGGAACTTAATTAATTTTAACTGTAAATACAATATTGTAGCATGTTTGAATCTTTTAAAATCAGCATATTTCAATGCTATATTGCACAAGAAAATTAAAATGAATATATATATATATATATATATATATATATATAATAAAAAATAAATTTTTGTTTTAAAAAATATTTGTATGTATTATATTCATTTATTATGTGTATGTGATATATAAAAACAAAACTATACAAAACAATTTTAATACATAGCTTTTTCTATTAAAATAAAAAAACTATTTTCAAATATGTGCATACATGTGTGTATTTATATATACACATCATAAATATACGCAGTACACACTCGTTTATACACAACAAATGTTTATTCGCGATTAATCTTTGCCCAGCACTAAATATAATATAATAAAAACAAATATAAATTAATAAAATATAATACAATAAAAACAATATATATTATAATATAATATACTATAATATAATTTAAAATATTATAATCCAAAATTATAGAAAATGATAAAAGTTTGCTGACATAATGTGAGTGTGTATTAATTATATTTAATATGTATATATATGTGATTCAAAGAAACAAAAATATATAAAAAATTTGTCACATATATATTTTAATTTATATAAAATTTGTTTTATATACCTATACATTTTAAATCTAAATAAAAACAAATATTATATTAAAACAAATTTTACTTTGGATGCAATTAATCTTTGCCTAGCACTAAATAATAAAATCAATTCAAATAAAACATTATATATATATATATATATATATATATATATATATATATATATATATATATATATATATAAAATGAAAATAAAATAAAATAAAGCAAAATAAATAAATAAATAAATAAATAAATAAGTAAATGACAAGCTTAATGGCAAGCTTTCATGTTAATTAAGCATCCTATTCTCCATAAACATTGTTTAGATTGTAGTTTAATTGACATATATTGCCATTCAAGAATATTGCAGATTTACTCTGACTATCAAACCAAATTAAGATGATTCGATGTGGAGCCTCAAACTCACCTTCCCCATCCTCTGTACTGGACTCCTCTGCTGACCTCTGGGGACATATTCGAATATTGATTTAAAGCCAGTATTGGACAGGAGTGATCTGAGTGATGCAGTATAAAAGGAAGCGCTGGTCTTACCTTTTGTGCTTTGTCCTTCTGAAACACAAATACTGGAGGAGCAACAGCAGGTTTATCTGAAAATTGAATCAAAAGAGTCGGTGCCATCAGATGGATGTAATTCAAATCGCTCCATTCCAAATCCAAAGCTACATTCTTTTTTACAATACAACTATTGACAGCATCACAGTGCAAATAAAATGTTAATCATCTTACTTATATTTCAGAAAGATTTCATATTTAACTAAAAAAAAAATATTATTATTTATATTAAATTCAGATTTTTGGGATGCCAATAAACAAGAACAGAAATGCTAGACACCACAAAAAAATGTAATGCAGAGCCAGCAGCTAAAGCAACAGCCCCCTTTTGATTTTTTTTCTCGTTTATAAATATTTCCAGAATGATGTTTAACAGAGCAAGGAAATGTTCACAATATGTCTGATAATATTTTTTCTTCAGGAGAAAGTCCTATTTTTTATTTCGGCTAGAATAAAAGCAGTTTTGCACAAGACGTTTGGCCATAGGAGATAAGGTCGTGCCTAACTGAGCCTGGTTTCTCTCGAGGTTTTTTAAATTCTTCACTTTCACCAATTGATGAAGTTTTTTCCTCGTCGCTGTCGCCACTAGCTTGCATAGTTCAGGATCTGTAGAGCTGCGCATCAATTGATTGCTCTTCAGTGTTTGGACTCTCAGTAGTGATTATTAAACCACACTGAAATGAGCTAAACTGAACTGAACTTAAACTCTGAAAATTGTACTGACACTTACATTGTAAAAGTGCTATATAAATTAGGCTTGGGCAGTAATACGATAATATGGTATACCACGGGATCTAAAAATAGCAACCGTGTCAATTTCAATACCGTTATACCATCATAAAAACAACGCACTTAAATAGGAGACAAGTATTAAATAATAAATATTATTTATTTAATGCCTACAAATGCGTATGTGTGACAGTGTGGAGGACAGAGAGAGAGGTGAGGTAAGGTGAGCCGCGCACCATGTGACCTGCAGTTTGGCAGTATTTCCAGTTTCGACCAAACGAGAAGGGAGACGTGGTAAATACAAACTGGAGGTCTGAATTCCTGCTGCTGTGTGTGTGTGTGTGTGTGTGTGTGAATGAGAGAGAGCGTCTCATGCAGATCTCTAATACGAACAAGACAAACAGGTGACCGCAAACATAAGGTGGCATATACGGTATTCAGTTTCTGAATGGTTTAGGCACAAGCCAACAGTTTGGTGACGCGGTCTGAGCCGTACGTCATAATTTTTTATTATGCACGCACCGGAAAATACCGGATACCGAGTTAAAATAGGGAGGAGGTTTGACGGTATCAAAATTTGGATACCGCCCAAGCCTAATACAAATAAAGGTGAATTTAATTTAATTTTCAGGGCAAGGTTGACATTTGCATGGAATTGATCATTTCTTTCATTTCTGTGAAAAAAGACTTGCTCTCTGTCCTGTCCTGTATCACTTTGTTTTTGGGTTCGGTTTGAATATTATTACGCCCCTAATAAACATCTACTGTACCAGTTTTAGCCTGATTTGTGATGTTGTGCAGGCACTGACCCATTTAAACACTCAGTCCATTAGCACTGACTCAATGATTCTGAAAGCATGAATGAGACTTTTCATAGTCTACAGAACAAATTCCTACAATTGTCTCAACAAGCTCACTAAAGAACTGCAGACGAAATCGTCCCTTCAACCATCAAAACTCACCATTGTCATCTGCCATGCTGCTGTCTGAACCCTCCTCAGGACCAAGTCAAGCTCTTCTGTTGCCAACCATCAAAGGGAAAACACTACAACACATGGTGGCAAACGGATGCTTTATTACTTTTAAAGGGCACCTAGGTTACCCCTTTTTTCAGATTTAATATAAGTCTTTTGCGTCTCTAGAATGTGTATATAAAGTTTCAGATCAAAATACCCATCAGATTTTTCATTATACCTTTTACAAGATGCTGTTTTATACTGATTTCCAGCAGGGGGTGGTTTTGTCGTACTGCGCCTTTAAGCCGAGTTCTGCCCGCCTACTGTTTCTACATGCCTCCTCCCTCAGCTGCGTCAGACAACAGACAGACTTAAAGGAAGGAGGTCTCACGTAGCGTTTGTGAGATACTACAGTAAGAACTAACCTTTATTAATCAGTATTGTGAAGTTGCATTGATGAGTCACACACAATATCGTTACAAAGTTAACGCGCGGGCACACACACAAACACCGCAGATGATACACACACACACACGCAGGCAGGCAGACAGACAGACAGAGCGCGCTTAGCCTAGTTAAGGCTAACCTCAAGTGTGGATATCTGTTATGCTAATGTACAAAATAAACCTGATTTAACTTCCACAAACCGGGATTGAAGCGTCTTCTTTTATAATTGTTCTGACACGCAGCTGTGCTGATGAAGTAAAGCTGAAGTAAAACGCTGTAATTAATTACACACATAATCTTTTTTTAAACACTTTAAACATGTGAAACTTACTCTTAATCACATTTGATGATGATTGCTGATCCCAGCGAACAGAACAGACCTTTTATTCCCGGTTGCTTTGCGTATGTCTGCCTGGTCTTGTTGACATATACACGCGACTACCGGAACATGTTAATGCGCGCAGCTGTCAATCAATTCGGTGGGCGGGGGAATCGCACACCTACGTAATGGTGCGATCGATTTGAAAACAGCTCCAATTGGCCGACCCTTTTTTTGTAGTTAAATTGAAAAAAAAAAGGACTGGGTGTGTTCATATCACCCCAGTATGACGGTCTATACACTATACCAACACACAGATCTGTCCAAACAGCTTGAAAAGTAGATTTTTTACCATAGGTGCCCTTTAAAAAACATGAAGGGAAGAGACAGAAAATAACTAAGACAGCCAAATCTATCAATCTTTCAAATCTTGTCACAAAATGGTAACTGTAAAGCTTGTTTAATTAAAACGTTATATTTTAGACTTTTTGAATGAATGGTTCATTCAAAGACCTGACTGATTCCAACGAGGAATATTTGTGGTAATTCTCTAAGCCCTGGAGGTATTTTTGAGGCTTTGCTTTCTAAATGATGTGCAAAAAACAAAAAGTCTCATCAATTCAAGCCTCACTAACACCACTTCCAACAGCAACCAAGCTTTCTCAGTTGGTCTCCCATCCAGGTACTGACCAGGTGCATTACATATAGATATACATGGTTTCCGCTACATTCATTCTTCCATGGCGGGGCGCCACGCTAAAATTCATCCCGCCACGACTACATTAGGCTACAGCTTCTCATTCAAAACATTCTGTTTTTTCTAATAGCGGGTAATAATCGCACCAAAACATATTAAAGGGTAAGTGAATTATAACAGCGCAAACTTTTCTGTAACCGACCGTAGTAGTGCTGTGCGTCATTTGTTTAACCCTTTAAGGTTACGTGCTGACAGACTGACTGGCTGGCTGACTGACAGGTGCGTGATGCGTGAGGCCAGCAAACACGACGTATAGCCGTTTCACTTTACCTCAGGACGCACTAATATCGCTCTGTCTATTGTAGACGTTCATAAATATTCCTAGCAAATCTAATAAATGTTGGAGACATACTCGTTACATAAACGCACTGAATCGCACTTCAGCAGCGTTTATTTGAGAGTGCACTGCGCACAAGAAGATCTGCACTTGAGAAGTGTACATTTGAGGAGGCGTGCAAGTTTTGTGCACGAGCAGAGGAAATCGGCGCGCAAGCAAAAAGATCTGCATGCTTGTAGGCTATTACATAAATGCGATCTCGACTTCTAATACTGCGCTCACGACATTTGTCACTGAAATAACGCCACAGGAAGTTGGTAGGTCTGTGTAAAAAAAAGGCCTGCCTCCACAGCTGGAAAAAATCCTAGAGGAACCACTGCATATAGCATGTATTATTATCGCGTTAATGATCATTTTTCGATACATAGTGGCTGAGACGTTGTTAAAGTAAAAACAGTGTTCGTCTATAGGAAGAAAAAAAAAGTATAGCTTTTAAATTTGACATGACATGGCATCTTTCGTTTCCCAGAGATGGGTTGCGGCTGGAAGGGCATCCGCTTCATAAAAACGTGCTGGATAAGTTGGCGGTTCATTCCGCTGTGGCGACTCCAGATTAATAAAGGGACTAAGCCGAAATGAATGAATGAATGGCAACTTTCGATACAAAAAAGGAATTAAGTTAAATCTGCTGTATAAAAAAAAAACTTGTGCCACTTATTACAATCTGAGCAAGTATTATGAAGTTGCAAGTCAAAGCATGACAGAAAATCTGGCTTTGTTTTTATAATAAACGACATAAACAACAACTCAATATGATATATCTTCAAATCTCTTTGACTGAGCATCGTTACTTTAGTGCTAAACAATGTGTAATTTATTAGGATCGGAGCATGTTTCACAAAGTTACGAGTAGAAAAACCACAACAATAATTCATCAATAGTATGTACTTAACTATGTGTGTTTCTGTGCGGTCTTCATGATGAATATGGATTATGGTGAGCTTAAGCTTTAGTAATCGGGTAAATCTGCTATGAATAATGTTCGATTTTCCACGACTAGAGACAGTTTTGTGACGTTTACTTTCACATTGCGGTGAGTCCAGGCTCAATTACAAAAATCTGTTGTGAATACTGTATGATTTACCATGATCTGACAATGAAGTCACATCACATAAATGACATCTATATTACTGACATATGGGTCAGGGGGAACATCGCATACAAGCATTCGCTCAATTTTAGACAACACCCCAAACAAATATGCCTTTTTATATATCTAAATGATATATGACAAGACTTTCAGAGCTATATGGTGTTTTTCACATCACAGAATCATAAATTACGATTGCTTTGTTCTTGTTTGATAGCAACTAACTCAGCACTACACTGAAGTTAATCAAAATCACTACATGCATTATAGAAACCAAAATCTAAGCTTTCTAATGACACCTGTTTTGTGTTGATCGAGGCAGTAGTTTAGAGAAATTTATGAATCCAATTAATGTTATCAAGTTGATGGAGAGGAATCCCGCTGGAAGTACCCTCCTATTTTACCTCTTGTGGATGTGAATGGTTATATATATATATATATATATATATATATATATATATAATGTGTATAGTTGTTTCCCAGTACTGGGTTGCAGCTAAAAGGGCATTCACTTTGTAAAACATATGCTAAATATGTGGTGACCCCTCATGAATAAAGGGACTAACCCGAAGGAAAATAAATGAATTAAAGTTGCATTTAAAATATGCATTTATGTAGAAAAAAAAGAAAGAAAACATGCACAATATATATTAAAATATACAAAATACATGAATAAATAATCATTAAAACTTTTAATTAATAATAAAAAAAAAATAACTTATTGCTGACAAGAAAAAGTGGAAAAGTAAAAATGTTTAATTAGTATTTTTATGCTGAACTGTGATCCTTGTCCTAAATATACACTACCTGTAAAACGTTTGGGGTCAGTAGGATTTTTAAATGTTTTAAATCAAGCTTCTCCTGCTCACCAAGGCTGCATTTATTTGATCAAAAATACAGTACAAGTAGTAAAATTGTGAAATGTTATTGATAATCATACAGATAATGTTATTATCTGTTGCAGCCTGTAAAGACATCGGGGTAAAGTTGGTTTTATATTTGCACATTTGTTCATTTCTGAGCCAATTTTGACATGCTACTTTGAATATTCGATCTTAATTGTAGGTATGACTTTAAAAACAACATTGCCACTATTTATTTGACTGTGAAAATGTTTTACTTTGATCATCTTTGGCTGAAAAAAAAAACAATTTCCCTTTTTAGAATTTGCAAAAAAAAATAATTTTCTGATTCTGAAATAATATTATTAAAGAGAAACCCTTCTAAAAAAAAAAAAAACAGCTTCAACCAGTCTGCCTTGTTTTAGAGGGGGTTTTGACATTTCCAACCAGGTCTTAGCTGGCCAGGCCATATCCAACTTGACCAGCCTAGCCAAAACCAGCTATGTCCAGCTTAAACCAGTTCTTTAAGGTTGGCTTTGGCTGGTTATTTTTTAGCCTGATCAGCTAAGACCAGGCTAGAAACCAGACTGGAAATGGTCAAAACCCCTCTAAAACCAGGCTGGTCGACCAGCTAAAACCAGTCAACCAGCTTAGGCAGGTTTAGGCTGTTTCTTTTTCAGCAGGGAAGACATAATGTGCGAATATAAAGCCAACTTTACCTCAAATGTAAAGAATTGTTGTACACTTGTTGTTTTGTAATGCTCTGGTAATGTTGGAACAACGAATGAATTATCATCTGGTTTAAGATAAAGGTATAGTAGAAGAGTTATAGCATTCAAAGTCACATTACTGTTGACATTTCAAGCTGGAAAGAGCATAACGTACTATACAGCAATGCCTCTTATCTCAAACGCAGATGTTTCAAACTCACACACCCACTATAACGTGCGTTACAAGAAATAAACCTGAACAATAAACACTGCCTAGTGTAATAAAGGAACTACATAACGTTAAGCCTATTATTTATAAACCGAATCACATATACCCGCACTACACTTTCAATCATAAATAATGTGATTGTATGTAAACATTAGTCATATCTCTGATTATGCAGGTCTGTTTGAACGCTACGACATTATTACGTTAATAAATCTATCAACTCCAAACAGTTTCTCACATAACGCGAGTCGTTATAGTAAATAAACGGGCACGGAGGATGCTTAACCAGTAATTCAGACATAAACATCACTTACCCTCAGCTGTCTCCTCCGCCATCTTACTTCCGCTGACTAACCATAATCCCCCGCGCTTTACAATGACGCAATAGTGTCGACAGGGTTGTGTTAGCAGAGATGTTATTATTAAAAATGTCAAAATACAATTATAGTGGCAAAGGAGCTGAAGTTAATTGACTAGTAAAGTTATTGTCAATTAAATAGGTTAAAATAATATAATTGTAAAGATCTTTATGTTGAATTGTCTCGTTATTTATTTTATGTAATTTATTTTTTGTTTATTTTATGTTATTAGTTACATTTGTATTTTTTGGATGTCATGTTTAAAATGTATATTAGTTGTTGTTTAATAAAAAAAATAAATGAAAAAAAGCTGAGATGTTATTTGGAGGCTTTGAGATGTTAGATTATATAGCTATGAACAATACATTCAAGATTATTAGGATGAAAAAAATGTGCCGTTGACCCTAATTCATGATGTTTTTGTTTTTTATTCCACACAGTATCTTCAAGAAGGTGGATGGTCTCAAGTTTCTTTTGACTTGCAATTTTTCACCATCAAAATTACCAGTAAAATGATCTAAATTTCATGAGCAAGCACTCTCGGCTTGGAAACTTTGCTTTGTGTATAATTTTTTCTCCACACAGAATGAAAATTTGGAATAAGTTACTGTTAAAGAAAAGAGTTTATATTTGGAGAAATTGTTGGAAAATATTGGTACATGTAAGTGATATATTTAATTAATCTTTAAGGATTTATTCATATAAATCATTTTTATCTAAGTTCAATTTTCCTGTTAAATTTAAAGAATTTTCAACAGTGATCAAGATATCCCCTCGAGACTCCTTAATTTAATGGTACATGTACAGTCATTTGACCTATTATAAGATATAAAATAAAGAATGTAATTTCCTGATAAATCGTAAAAATATATTTGACAAAAATGTACTAACAAATACATTAGGCAAGTATTTGATGATAAAAATAGAGTTATTCCAAGAGGGAAATTTTATTGGAATTCGTTATTATGGGAGGTCAATTGGAGAAAAGCATGGCTGCTACCATACAAATTTTGCATTTAAAATAAAGTAAGAGAAATTAATTTAAAAATTTTACAATAAATATACCCAACCAACGTGTTACTTTCCAAATTTTTAGATATTGAGAAAGATCTTTTTCTGATTATTCTGCTAAAAATAATATGTTGATAACATTGAATGGAAAATAAATTATTTGTTATTTTGAAAAGGGTGATAAACTAATTAACAACTTGTTAATTTTATTATTTTTAATGGTAAATTCTTTATCCACAAATGTAGAATGTTCAAAAACTCCTCCTTTATACATAGTATTTTTCAACAAACTTATTCTGCTAATGAAGTCTCTTAAAGCTGTAAAAAAAAATGTAAAAGCTCTGTCTATCGTAAGCTAATATAAATCTGTTTTTGGTGTCTTCCTTTTGTTTTTTATTTTTATTTATTTATATAGAATTTCAATTATGCTGGATTTTTTGTTGCCTGTTTTTGCTGTGTTTGTAAAGTACAAATAAAAAAAGCAAGATGTTATTTTACTTTGAAATTAGCTAAAGCTATTTTGTTATGTTTTATATTGTATATAAATGACCATAAAATCACCCATTTAGTAACAGCACATACTGCCACCAGATGACAGTGTAAACACAAGAAAGAATAGGGAATATAACACAAAGATATGGCTAATTTTGAAGTGCTGCGTTCAACACTTTAATTTCAGTACAGCACCAGCTCTAATAATTCACCTGAGACCATACTGTTTATTTGAATATGAAATAAGGTTATATATATATGAAACTAAAAGCCTATATACAATTATATAGTTCCCTTTTATAAACAGGTCACACTTGAAAAATAGTAATCAAAAAGTGATATTAATAAGTCCATATGAAATCTTCATGTTATTCCATGTCCCCGGTCAGGTTTTCACACTGCTGTGTTGATCATTTTGTTCATCTAAATCCTGATACATCGGCTCTCGGTTCCTGTACAGACAATAATGCTGTATGATGAACAAAATGTCGAAGAATATGGAAAAGACGCCCAGTCCGAACTTAGTAGGGTCTCCAAATATAAACCTCCATTTATCTGTCAAGAAAACACATAATAGTCAGTTGCTCTGTGAATGGTAACATCTTTAACGTGTTGCGGTGGGAAATAATTGAGGTACAGTTGGTTTTATATTCGCACATTCGTTCATTTAAATGGCCTCTATATTATTTACCACCACATTAAATATTTGATCTGAAACTGCATGTAATTTTGACAAAATTGGCACTATTTAGTGACTGAACAATGTTACTTATCTGAAAAAATATAATTAAGGAGAAAGTCAGAATTTGCGAATATATGACCACCCTTACCGTAAATAGAACATGACAGTGTTTGTGTGGTCTCACCATTGTTATAGGCCTCAAGGAACATCTGGATCAAACTGAAACTGCCCCCTGTGAAGTCCAGCAGCACATTGCCGATGCTCCAGCCCTCTGTGCTCTTCCTGCGGTAGTTCATGTGAGCCTGAAAGAAATATAAACAATATCTGTTTTTCAGTAAAGAATATGCTAAAAGTACCACTTTTTATGAGCTGCTTTTCCAAGAAGATTAAAACAGAAGAACAGAAAGAAAGAAAGAAAGAAAGAAAGAATGAAAGAAAGAAAGAACAAAAAGAAAGAAAGATAGAAAAAAGAGAATAAAAAGAAAGAAATAAAGAAAGAAAGATTAAAAAGAAAGAATAAAATAAAGAAAGAACAAAAAAGAAAGAATAAAAAAAGAAAAGAATATAAAAAGAAAGAAAGAATAAAAAAATAAAAAGAAAGAATAAAAAGAAAGAGAAGAAAAAAGAAAGAACAAAAAGAAAGGAAGAAACAATACAAAATAAGAAAGAAAATAAGAAACAAAAAAGAGAGGAAAAAAGAAAGAAAGAATAAAAAGAAAGAACAGAAAGAAAGAAAGAATAAAAAAGAAAAAGAATAAAAAGAAAGAACAAAAAGAAAGAAAGAAAGAAAGAGTCAAAGGACAATATAAAAGGAAAGAAAGAACAAAAAAGAAATAATAAAAAGAAAACAGAATAAGAAAGAATAAAAGGAAAAAAGAACAAAAAGAAGGAATAAAAAGAATTAAAGAAAGAATAAAAAGAAAGAATAAGAAAGAAAGAAAGAAAGAAAGAAAGAAAGAAAGAAAGAAAGAAAGAAAGAAAGAAAGAAAGAATCACATTTATAATTTTTCCTGAGAATAAGAGGTGACCACAAAATAATATATAAAGATTTAGATTTAGATAAATTCCTCGATATTTAAACATGATTCATTTCTGGTAATGGTGAGCTTTCTTGGGTCATTAGATGGGTTATTATTTAGCCTGATTTTTTGAAATCTTTTTTTAAGTGTACTTTTTAATCCACAAGTACAAGCAAATGTTATAATCAGTTAAAAATGAGGAAGAGAGAAATGTCTGCTTAGACTTCCAGTGAACTGCATCAAAATTGACTCCACTTTTCTATGAATAGCCTTTATTTGAAAAGACATAGTTCACACACAATGTTTAAGTTCTGTCATTTCCTCAACCATATGCCGTTCTAAAACAACATGACCTATTCCTTCTAAAAACACATCCACCATGGCTCTCAAATTTCTTTCACGCATGTGAATATTCAATGGTGGCTAAAGACAGATTTGATTTTGATGTTTCGCATCACTCACTGTTTTTAATGCAAGCATGAAAGAAAATGCAAAACTTACAGCAGAGGGTAAACATACTGAACACGCTGACAGAATATTGGGGATTTTGTCATGCCCAGTTCTCTTGCACTTTCATTTTGTCAGGACAAAAACATCTGTGTGTGTGTGTGTTTGTGTGTGTGTGTGTGTGTGTGTGTGTGTGTGTGTGTGTGTGTGTGTGTGTGTGTGTGTGTATCAATGACATTTTTGATTTAGGTTTTTCCCATATTAGGACTGGAATAACATGAAACAGTGAAAAACATTTAAAAACTAAATATTTAACATGCATGCATGTTTGGAGTATATTTATTTTATGCTTATTTATTTATTTACTTTATTTTTTATATAATAAAGTATAAAAAACTTATTTTTATACTTAAAATAGTTAAATATTTAAATACTTAAAATAGTATAAAATAGTTAATAAAATAGTTAAATAATATAATATAATAGTTAAATAATTTTAAATAGTTAAAATAGTATAAATAGTATAAAATAGTTAAAATAGTTAAATAGTTAAAATAGTATAACAATTATACTATTTTATAATTATTTAATTTATATTTATATATATATTATTATATAATTATTATATTATATATTATTATATTATATATAATTTATATATATTTTTTTTTCAACACATTTCTAAACTTAATAGTTTAACAAATTTATTTTCTCTTTGCCATGATGACAGTAAATAATATTTTACTAGATATTTTTCAAGACACTTCTATACAGCTTAAAGTGTCATTTAAAGGCTTAACTAGGTTAATCAGGTTAACTAGGTAAAACCTAAAAAATATCGAGTCAAATATTTTTTTACTCTCATCATGGCAAAGACAAAATAAATCTGTTTTAAGTAGGGCTAGACGGATTTCTGAGGAATTATTTTGGGAGTATCATAACTAAAACCTTAATATGTTTAATAAAAAATAATATCTTTTTAACTTTTATTTAATGTTTAAAATGCAAATCCAATTAGATTTACTTTATTTGGTAAACAAAGCAAGTCTCTCATATAATATATCTACTCAAAGACAGAAAATATTACTCTACAAACTGCATTGTACATAAATCAGATGAACATTTTCATATTAGTCAATAATATTACTGTAATTAATTTAAAAACTGAATTAATTTAGATTTACACACATTTACTCAAGTAAATAAACTGAATTAATGATGGGCTAAAAATCTGCAGAAAATCTGAGAAATTCTGTGTGTGTGGATTCCAAGTGGTCCTAGTTATTATAAACAGAAAATGGGGGAAAAAAATAAACGGGGGCTAATAATTCTGACTTCAACTGCATATATATATATATATATATAATTTTGTATTTTATTTTAATTAATTAATTCTTTATGTCTATCTAATTTTATCTAATAACTAATTTAATAAAAAAAAAAAATTTAATTTTTTTAATAGATTTTATTGTATGTTATATTTTATGAGATGAGATGAGATGAGAAAGGAAAATTGTACCTGAGGGATGTATTTCACTAGTGTGACACCCAGTTTAATGTAGGAGAAATAGTACAGATAATCCAGCCAGGAGATTTTCTTTGCCACAGCCACAAACAGAGAGACAAATGCAAAGGTCCAGCCGATAGCTAATAACCCAATGGCCACTTTGGAGACCTTTTGCCCACCTCTCTGAAAACAAAACAAACAAAAAAAAAATGTATTAATAAAGGTCTTACATGTGTTCACATACATCACAAAATTATAGGTCTGACGTGACAGCTAATTTACAAAAAACACGGGGGCACTTGTGCACTAGTTGCCCAGGGCCATCATGAGGTCTTAAATCTGCTATGACAAAAACCTGTTAAGTAATCGCTGTACTTTAAAAAATATATATATTTGAAAGTTTTCTGTGATTTTTGTGAATTTTAGAAATAGGTTTAGGGGACAGAATATGCCATTTTTACATGATAATAATCATATTTATGAAGAGTTTTTGTAACCACATATACAGGTGAGCGAGTGTGTCAACCACAATAACATCATTATAATTGATCATTTGCCCATGAATGTTGTAATGTTTACCTCATAGATGGCACACTGGCAGATATAGACCAGAGTGAGAAGTAATGCATGGAGACTGAAGAACACATCATTGGCATCCACAGGAATGACTCCGTTTGGATCTTTCTTCAAGAATTCCTCCTGGAAATACACCATTTAACATCTGTATATCAGAACTGCTTGTTGACGATCAGAAGAAATCTGAAGACATCAGAGTGACTTAGTGCAACTCACTAAATATAATCCTGCATGTCAATCCCACTACATCAAGGTTTAGAAAAATGATATCCAGCTATTTTCTATTAAGTTAAACAATATTTCATTGATTTCATCTATATATTAATGATATATTACAGTAGTATTATCAAGGATTACAGTGCAGCTACTATAAGCTGATTATTTGTCATTATTTGATAATTGTTTGTCATCAAGTTAAATGTTTACCATTTGCCACTATATTTCAAACTAGGTTTTATAAGTACAGGTCACATTTTTTTTTAAATACTATTTATGCCAAATGGCATCAGGACACAACAACTGTCTGTATGAATGAATTGATTAATTCGAAAACAGATTGATTCCGAAAAACAAAAACATTGCAGAGTTGTACAAATTTTCTGCTCTTGATTTGTCTGCAACTATTGTCATTGTAATAAAATAAAATTGAACACTATTTACTTTTTTGGGTTGGTCTGTCAAATAAAATGCAAAATGAAATACAGCATAGGTCTCAAAATTTAAAACCTGGAGGGCCGCAGCTCTGCACAGTTTCGCTCCAACCATAATCAAACACAGCTGATGCAACCAATCAAGGTGTTCATTACTCATTTAGATCAGCTGTGTTTGTTTGGGGTTGGAGCAAAACTGTGCAGAGCTGCGACTCTCCAGGATTTAAGTTTGAGGCCTATGAAATACAGTATTTTTGTAATAATTTTGCAACAATTAAAAAAAAAAATTATTTCACATTGTCATTTTGGGGTAGTGTGAGTAGAATTTTGAGGAAATAAATTAATTTAATCCATTTTGGAATAAGGCTGTAACATGAAATGTGGAAAAAGTGAAGCGCTATAAATCCTTTCGGTAACACTTTATAATAACTACACACTATAAATCATTTATTAAGCATTAGCAAATAGTGAATTCATTATCTGTTAAGCATTAACTCTACATTAATAAGCGTTAGTAAGTAGTTTAAATCTGAAGCTACAAACGCTGTATTCTTGACTTACAAACATATTTAAAATGTGTATACTTTCATACTTTGTTAATCATTTATATTTCATTACTTAATTAAGTATCACATTATTTACAAACCAGTTGTATTTAAGAGTATTTGAGGGTTTTTAGGATAATTCAGAATGAGTTAGTAAATGATTAACAAACTATTGAAATCAACATTTATATGTCTTATTATTCAGGCATATATAATAATTACATATAGTAATTACTATGTATGTTAATAAATGCTTCATTAACTCAACTTCATGCAGTTTTGTGACCTAATCTAAAGTGAGGACTATTCATGCTTCATAAATGTCTTATAAATGACAAATAAAGGCTCAGTTAAATTCTAAACAGGAAAAATGACATTATTCATACCTATTCGTTTAAAGATACTCAAATGAAACTGTACTTCAAATAAAAAATAAATCATTGCAACCTGATCTAAAATAAAATCACTGTACAGTTTAAACATTGCATCTTATTATATTGTTAAATTATTATATTGTTGTTGTTATTTTATCAAGTTTTATGTCATATTTTGACACTCCTATTATTCGGGAATGATTCAACTTTACAGTAATTTTATTTTTTAGAAAAGATTGCAAAGACTATTGTTCATTTGATTCTGAGCCTGTAATAATCCTTTATAAGACATTTATGAAGCATGAATAGTCCTCACTTTAGATTAGGTCACAAAACTGCATGAAGTTGAGTTAATAAAGCATTTATTAACATATTAGTTAAGTATTAGTATATGCCTGAATAATAAGATATATAAATGTTGATTTCAATAGTTTATTAATCATGATCTAACTCATTCTGAATTATCTTAAAAACTTCAACTACTCTTAAATACAAATGGTTTGTAAATAATGAAATTCACAAATAATGAATTCACTATTTGCTAATGCTTAGTAAATGATAGTGTGTAGTTATTATAAAGTGTTAACATACTTTCCACATGCACTGTACATATAATAAACAAACAACAGAGGTGCAGAAATAAAATGAAGCACATTTTAAAGTGAAATAAACAGTGCTTTATGGTTTTCTTAGGAGTCTAACAGCATCCAGACGTACAATTTCTTGTGCCAGAATGCGTTAAAACTCTTATACAATGCTCACACAGTCACAGGCCTAACACATAAATGACAAACTTTCACTCTATTGTGGTAATTTTCTGTAGTGACAGCAAATCTCATGCGTTTTGAACTGCGGTTCCCGGTATAATAAACTATCATGCTAACTTAACATTGCATATCTTGCAATGTGACTATTGTGGATAGACATATTCTGTTATTGATACTGAAATTATATATTCCTACTCGGGATTCTAAAATGTCAAATCTCGCATCATTAAAACAGCAAGCGCACGCACCTGAATATACGTCACCCAGAAAAGGCCAACGTTGAACACACTGTAGGCGATGAATCCAGTCAGGTTGAGAGCGAGGAAATCAAAATTAAGGCCAACCACACTGTTTAATAACAATACATGCATTAGCTTTTCATTCAGACGAAATCCTCAACAATAAGCATCAAGTATATACTGTAGTACCTGCGTCTCTTCCAGTTCTCGTATGCCTGTGGGTAAAACGACACAGACCAGGCCACAAAGTAAATCCAGCCAATGATTTGGTTGATGATGAAAAGGGCATTGCTCCTGACGATCAAGAATCTGATCCGTGCATCTAAACTGGAAAAGGAAAATCCCATCTAGCTGTAATTTTCAAGAGTTTTTGTTGACACACATCTCATATATAACAAATTAGACTGTTATTTATCACTTTACTGAAGCCATAGCATCTCAAAGAAAAAGTACAGTTGAAGTCAGAATTATTAGCCCCCCTTTGAATTTTTTTTTATTTCTTTTTAAATATTTCCCAAATGATGTTTAACAGAGCAAGGACATTTTCACAGTATGTCTGATAATATTTTTTTTTCCGGAGAAAGTCTTATTTGTGTGATTTCGGCTAGAATAAAAGCAGTTTTTAATTTTTTATGAACCATTTTAAGGACAAAATTATTAGCCCCTGTAAGCTATTTTTTTTTTCGATTGTCTACAGAACAAACCATCATTATACAATAACTTGCCTAATTACCCTAACCTGCCTAATTAACCTTGTTAAGCCTTTAAATGTCACTTTAAGTTGTATTGATGTGTCGTGAAAAATATCTAGTCAAATATTATTTACTGTCATCATGGCAAAGATAAAATAAATCAGTGATTAGAGATGAGTTATTAAAACTATTATGTTTAGAAATGTGTTGAAAAAATCTTCTCTCCATTAAACAGAAATTGGGGAAAAAATAAACAGGAGGGCGAATAATTCAGCGGGGCTAATAATTCTGACTTCAACTGTATGATGTGCTTACTTGTGTTATCTTTGATTAATATTTAAGTTAGCTTGATGATCTAAAACATTTAAGTGACAAAAATCAGTAGGGGGGGGGCAAAGACTTTTTCACACCACTGTATATAGTTTGTATCCAGTATTATAATAGAACATTTCATAAGCTCTTCAATTCAGTTTAAAATTATTTGTATAGACCAAATGAATGGACCGATTTGAATAGACCAATCAAAGATGAAACTTTTTTTCAAGCGCAACAACAATAAAAGTGTGATGCTGCTATCATTTTGATTCATACTTTAAAATGAGTCGGTTAGTTTAATTATAATACTTCAAAGCAAAAATTACGACTCCCATACATTTGTTTAATATAATTTATACCCTCTTAAATTTGTTATTTAAAAAATTCATCAGTTCCAAGAAACACATTGCCATGCCGAAATGCTAATTATTTGTCATTTTAAAGATTTACAATTTGATGATACACTTTAAACCACATTGTTTTACAGGTCAGCGTATTCTTTCATCTTTACCTACTGTAAATATATCTGCCATGCTAAATATTAATGGAATATTATTATTAAATGCAAGCATAGTCTCTACTTAAATATGTATGGATGTTAGTAATAACCAAAAAATCCATATATGCACAGAAAACATCTCAATGGTTTACAAATAAAGTTTTGCGTAATAAAATGAAATGACGCCGGAAAAAAGGTATTGAACACATGAAGAAAGGAAGGTGTAGAAAGGCATGGAAAGCTTTCAGTAGTTTTTCAGCAACACTCTGCCCTTCATCACTGTAAATGAATAATAGCTGCTTCAGTCCAACATCTACATCAGCAGGAGGATGAAGATGAAGCCAAGGTGGACATTTCAGCAAGAATCCAAAGAAACTTCAGCCAAAGAAACTCTCAAATGCTTTCTGAGAAAGCAAATCAAGCCATAGAATGGCCTAGCCAATCACCTGACTTAAATCCAATATAAAATACAAAATAAAGCTCAGATTTGATAGACGAGACCCACAGAACCATCAAGATTTTAACACTCGAAGTCTGTGGAAAATCTCACACCTGAGCAATGTATTTGACTTCATTCTCCACATGAGAGGCGTCTTTAAGCTGCCGTCAGCCTTTTATACAAAGTATTAAATACGATTCAGTAGTTCAGTACTCTCTCCTTGTGTCATTTCATTGTTGTTACACATAATACATTTTTAAGATTTTTTTTTATATTTGTATCATTTGGGTTTTTACCAATTTTGGGTTCAATTCCATGTCAACATCTCCTTTAGAAATATATTTCCCAGGAAAAAACATGATGCGTTCAATACTTATATCCCCCACTGTATAGGCACTATGCATGCAATAATATCACATGAGGAGATATCTTAGTATATTGGAGATATTAGATGGTTTGAGTGTGCATCTGTCCCTGAAAGCACACTAGAAACGTAACAAGTTATAATTATTGTCAATGTAATATGAAGCAGACACCAAAATAGGAAGTCTTCTCTTAAACCCAAACACAGTTGATCTATTTGACTAGTTTGAAATCCCCTAAATTAAGGAACTACACAAATAGAACTGGTTCTTCAACATCCTGATGCGAATGTCACCATATCTGATTATCATGCATCTGCAAGAATTTGCTCATGCTGTAAATGACGTCAACAATAAAACATACTGAAAATTGTAATTAACGTTATATACGAGGCTTAAATGTTGATCAAAATGAAGGCTGAAGAGTTGAATGAACGAAACTGTATGAGAACGTCACAGACCGAATGCCTTTTCCATCCAACACTGTATAATCAGTGACAGATTAAGAGAATTTAGCTTACAACGCACCTTTTTATGCGAGTGTCATTGCTGCTAAGGTACGCGGTCACCTGACCAACCCCTTTTGCCTGCACTGCAAAAGATACAGATGTGTTTCCAGCTGGTACAACAACCTGTACAGGACGAGAGAGGACAATATTTATTTAGCGACTCATATGAGTCATATTTATTAAGCATCTATTTATCGTAATATGAATATTTATGTATGACTTTGACATTATAAATAACTAATACAGGCAAATGGTCATTTTCACACATGATAATGAATGTACATTTTCATTTAAGACTAAAACAGACATCAAACCATAATATACAGTAGCAAAAAATTTTTATATATTCATAATCTGGCACAAAAAAAAAAACGTATTCAGCTTGAACATGAGCAAGATTTAAGTATACTGAAGTGAACGAAAACTTTTTAAATAATTTAATAATTTTATTAAGCAATTGTTCGATCTTATTATGATTATTCACGTATGATTATAAATTAGATATGAATGTATTGATATTATTAATTAAGGCATATGGTTATTTTTATGCATGATAATGAATGTACACCATTTTATAATTTAAATATAAGATTAATAAATGAGATTGCATATGTTTTGTATGAAAACAGACATCAAAACATAATATACAGGGGGAAAAAACATTAATATTTTCATAATCTGTCACAGAAAACCTGATTCTGTTTGAACATGAGCAAAATTTAAGCATATAAAATGAACATGACCTTTTTAAAATGACTTTATTAAGCAAATATTTATCTTAATATGATTATTCGTGCATGACTATAGTTTAAATATGAATGCAATGATATTATTAATGATGAATATAGGCAAATAGTGATTTTATGCATGATATTGAACATACACCATTTTATAATTTAAATATAAGATTAATAAAAGAAATTGTATAAGTTTTGTAAGAAAATAATGAACAACAGAACATAATATACAGCAACAATTTTTTATGTTTTCATAATCTGTCACAGAAAACCGTATTAAGTTTGAACATGAGCAAAGTAAAAGTATAGTGAAGCGAACAGGTATGTTAAACATAAGTAAAATGTAAGTACACAGGAACTTTTCAAACATAATATTAAATATGTTTAAGGCAGACAGGTAGATTAGTTTAAAATTTAATAAAGTAATTGCACATACCTCATTGGGTAGTTGAATTATTAAAGACACATTATTTGATTCATAAGTGATATTGAAATAAACCGTTACAGATGTGTTCAGCGGTGAACTGTAAACACAAAGGATTAAAAGAACATAGTTAACATATTTCCTGGTGAACTTAGCTTGAATACAGAAACAAAGCCCTATTATCTTACCTCAGTGTAATGGTGATGTTTTCTGAAGAAAATTCCTGTAGATTCACTGTTGCGGGAGCACTGACGGCCACTTCTGCATCTGTAGATATAATTGCGGTAAAGTTGGTTTTATATTTACACAATCAGACTTTCTCATTAATAATATAATTTCAGAAAGGTATTTATAGCAAATTCTAAATAGTGAAATCATATTATCAGCAAACAACTATCAAAGATGCAACACTGTTCACAGTCAAATAAATAGTGCTAATGTCGTTTTCAAGTCATAATTACATGTGATTTCAGACCGAATATTCAAACTACCATGGTCAACAATATAGAGAGAGAATGTCACAAGTTGTCACTGAATGAATGTGTGAATAGAAAACCAACTTTACCTCAATGTAAATATACAGGGATAATAACATTTTCTTTACGATAAGATTTCATTAGTTAATGGTAATGTATTTACTAACATGAATTAAAAATGAACAACACTGCACAGCATTTATTCATTCACTGTAAAAGTATCCTGGTTCCCTTTAATGTTTAAGCCGAATCAAATTAACCTTATGAGTCCATTGAATGTTAAACTGACTTAAAACAGCTTGTATAACTTATAAAATTAAGTTGGAACATGATGAACTTAGTTTAATAAGTTACAATGAACTAAAATGAAACACATGCCGATTGATCAAATATTTTAAGTGTAGTTCAACATTTACAAATACATTATTAAACCTAAGTTTATCTTTGTTAACATGATGCACTGTGAGTTATGAACTAACAATGAACACGTTTATTTCCATAACTAACATGTTTGTTCATGTTAATACATAAATAACATCAACTAATACTTTACCTAAGGTTTAGGTAATGTTATTTAATGTACTTATTAACATTAAAAACATTAACTAACAAGGTTATAATAAATAAATACATTAAATAACATTAACTAATACAACATTAATACCCTTTTTGTTCTTCTCTTAAATATATATATATATATATATATTTGAAGCATTGTACAGTACTTACCACCAAATGCTGTGTGTTTACAGAGATACAGAGTTAAAAGAAACAAAAAGAAAGTCTGCTTCAACATGATATTACATTTACAATCGTAAACAAATGTAATTATTATTGTTCTGTCGTTCAGCTTAACGCTACTCCATACGCGGAAGGCGTAAATATGTGCTGGCACATCCAGTAGCACGTCGATGTAATTCTTAGAGTATAAATTAAGTAAACAACGTCAAATCTATCACATGAGGAAACTGAAGTGTTTTTAAATCTGTATTTCCGCATTCGACATTTTCGATCACATGACGCCGATCAGCTGACTGGAAGTCGTCTCACTGAACCGCGAAGATGAGAGTGTCCAAAAAAGGTCTGACTTCGTCCAGATTCCCACAGATTTCATGAATAAAAATAGCTCTTTATTTTCGGTTCTTGAGGCTGAGGTCGATAAAAACTCATTTTGCTCACGGGAGCCATACAAAAATTTTGAGACTTTGTTGAGAGTTTACTGTCCTCTGGAGCATAACATTTGATCTAGTAGTCATCATCAATCTAACGTTAGTGTACATAAATCTACATTTGATCTACACTTGTCAACATGTATAAAAATACCAATTAAATCTTGACTATGCTGTATTTGCCCAAGTGACAATGAAAAAGTTTCTCTGAATTTTATTTTGAGCAGTATTGTTTGATAAGCCACATTTAACGTCTTTCATCTTCTTTATTGTTGTTGTTGTTGTTGTTGTTGTTGTTAATATTAGCCTATTGTAATTTGTGGGCATATGTTTTACTTTAATACAATGTATTAATTAGTGTTGTTATCTTTTTTTTAAAAAAAGGCTTTTTTTATGGAAAAACACCTTTTTTTCTTTTTCTTTCTTTTTTTTTTTAAAGGGCTCATTTCAAGTTGACTTGAACCATTTTTTTTTTAATTCAGCCAATTTTTTTGTTCTGGCATGGTCAAAATTAGCCTAGCTTAGTATAATTATTTAAGTTACTTTTGACCATTTCGTTAAAAAATGCAATAATAATAATGGTCACACTTTACAATAAGGTTCATTAGTTAATGTTAATTAATGCATTTACTAACATGAATAATACATCTACTACTGCACTGTAAACCCTAATGCTGTAACTAATTAATTGAGTTGAGTTCTATTAACTTAAATCATTAAAATTTGTTTATCTTAATTAACCTTGATGAGTATTTAGAACTTTTTCTTATTTTTGAGTTTGAAAAAATTTAATCTTTCAAGTAAGGTGAACAATTCTGCTGGGTTTAATCTATACAAAATGTCTCTTTAAAGTTTCATTAACTCAAATTCTGTCAGCCTAGTGATTTTGCGTCTGACGTCATCCAGGTTCACGTACGTGCTCATGCTTCATTCGTTTTTTTCAAGATGGCGGATCGGCCTCGCTTCACACTACAGTAAGTAAAATATTTACAAATCCAAGAAATATTAAATGTATGTTTTAATTAATATAATCACAGTAACAGTTCAATGTAATGTAGAGTTAATCAGGGTGCGTTTACATGTCGTACATTACAGAAAACATATTTAGCCTCACTTGTTGCTAACTAACGTTAACATTACTGTTTAAAAAGTTAGAATCAGTGCAATGTTAGCGTTAGTTGTAATGTGTTAACTCTGAATTTTAACAGAGTGTGATAAAGACAAAAATATTTAAAAAAAAATATTTTAAATATTTAAAATCGGCAGATTACATTTTTCAAAAAAATTTAAATCTTGGCGCGAGTATGCCTTTTCTCAGCCTGTGCTGAAGTTGTCATGGAGACGTGCGCTCTCACAACCGCATGTCATGGCGCTGCGCTGAACTCCATCCAGTCTGTGAATGTGGTATTATCTTCGCGATCTGTAGGCACTTCGGAAACGAAAGGCGCAAGAAACGTAACGTTAATCATAACTCAAATGATCTCCGACTAAACACTTAACGGTATTTTCTGATGACGCGCAAAAACGTAGTCTCAAAACTTAACTCTGTCACACGCAGCTTGTTGCTTGCTGATCCATGTATGAGCATAGCCTGACGGAGAACATTTAAGCTGCGCTCCTCACCTGAGCAGGTACAGAGCAGAGCTTCATTTTACACTACCACATTGAGGTAAAGTTGGTTTTATATTCATACATTCATTTAGTAACAACTTGTGACTCGCTCCATATATTGTTTACCATGGTACTTTGTCTATTCGTTCTGAAATCACATGCAAGTATGACATGAAAACAACATTACACTAAATGCACTATTTTTTTTGACTGAACAATGTTGTACTTTGAAAGTCATTGGCTGCTAATATGATTTCACCATTAAGAATATGCAAAAATTACCTTTCTGAAATTATATTATTAAGGTGAAAGTCTGAATGTGTAAATATAAAACTAACTTTACCTCAATCACCAGCACTGATCAACACTTAATATTTCCTCGCGCTTAAGACGACATCTCTGCATATCAATGATTACCTGATTAATGCGATCAGTTAAGTGAGTTTAAATGTCATTTAGGTCAAATGTATTTTAAAGGTATGATAAAAGTTGTTTTTTTTTCAATCTATTTTTTAAAATGTCTACTCTGGAGAGAATATAAACAGCCTAAAAAACAAAGTATGCATATCTATAACACATTAATACAAAATTATGTTATTAAATAAAATAATAACAAAACAAAATATTCAAGACGTGGTAAAGAAGACAGTTTTCTGATGTGCAAATTTTGTAGCTTAAAATATATTTATATCTTAAAAATATAAATATTTTAGTCTATATATTTTTACATCATTAGACAATAAGGTACGTTTTGTTATTTCTAGCTTTTAAAATCAGGCCTTAAATTTCTTTGTCGTCCTATTCAGTTTTAGAAATTTCAATACTGTTTAAATTAAATCTGTGTTCATCAAATCAAAGCAACTAACATGATAATCAGCTCTATTGCTAACCGTTTTGGAGGTTAACGTTAGACATCATGTAATTGTACTACTTCCACTCTCAGCTAAATGACACTGTGACTTTGTGTACTTACAGAATTGAAGGTCAGGTGTTGCTGACTACAGATAGGTTCTTAAATGGAGGCATGTGAAAGGTGGGTAAAATATTTATTTTGTACTACTATGCCTGGCATATCCAGATAAAATAAATATTACAGTGTATTTATCAATGATACTTTTGCAGCAAGGAAAGTGAAACTTCAGCTAGACCTTGAGTTCAGTTTACAACATGAAAATCCTGATTTCAACATCTGATCAACACCTGATTTTCATCTGAGGTAAAAAATAGATAAGTAAATGAAACATAATAATAATATTAATACATTTTTTCTAGAATTGTATATTTTGTGGCGTGGGTTTGTTTTATGAAATTCTCTCTTGTTTCTTTTTGCTGTTTGCAGAGTACCAACATGTTACAAATGAGAATTTTCCCCACAAATTCTTTGCAAAACTGGACCACCACCTATTTAATTTGATGACAATTTTAAGGCAAACAGCATCCAAAACTGGCAAGACAGCAGATACCCTGGCTAATCTTTTAAAGGTTTATGATGAGCAGGTATGTTTGGGGTCACGTGTTAAAGTATACATTAAAATATAATTTGAATTATTATTATTTTTTTAATTTTTAAAAAATTGATTCTTGATTTCCAGGAACTGAATGATGTCAGTTCATGACGGACTACTCTTATCAGAGGTCTTTTGGTCTTGCTGCGTGAGCGTGACTTAAGATTCTTTAGGAACACCCTGGTAAGACTTCATTCATTCTTTTCACAATTAGGCATGTTTAATGAAAAGATGAAAGTTTTGAAAACTTTTACTTAATAACATATTTGTAATCAAGAATAGTTGATGAATCATATAATATTGGCTCAGTCATTTTGATACTGTCCTTACATTAATATCCTTGAATTATGTTTTTAGATTGATAATCCTGCTGACTGAAGATACTTTATTGGCCCTGCATTCACTGAGGGTCTCTGTTGTCCTGAAGAATGAATTGGACACCACCCACAGCACACTTCCAGACCTTTCTTGTCTTGTATGGATTAATGTATGCTCTTCACATAATATATAGTAAAGGACTTTGAACTTGTGCAAAAAGTTTTGCTTGGCATGGATGATGGAAAATAAAAAGTCTCGCAGCATGGAAACCTTAAAGAATGAGTTGATGTAGAGCTTTTTTTTTTTTTTAACTTAATAAAGACTGTCTCTGGGGTAGTAACTTCAAAACATTTATTTACCTTTAATTGGTAAGTATGCATTTTATTATATATAGGGATAGTTTGTCCAAATGTAAAATTCTGTCATTTACTAACTCTTCACTTGTCCCAAACCTGCTTGAATTTCTTGCTTTTGTTGAACACAAAAGTTAAGTAAAGCTGACAACCTGTAACCACTGACTTTCTAATAGGAAAACAAATACTGTGGAAATCGGTGGTTACAGGTCTCAGCTTTTTTTTTTTTGGTCAAAAATAACCTTTTAAGTGTTCAACAGAAGAAAGAAACTCAAACAGGTTTGGAATAAGTAAATGACAGAATCAGTCGCCCTGGTCGCTAATTCAACCCAGCTGGACCATCATCAACACAGGATCGTTCACAGCTGGACGTCATCTAGTGGAGAGGCATATAAACCAAGCCCACGCAAGGAGAAGATGAGCTTCATTCACCCAATGACTCCATGCGCTAACGCTTGTCTCTCCACAGCAGACTCCAGCTCGTGATGATCCCACATCCGACTACTCACTGTCCTTCACTTACTTCCCGGAGCACCAGAGCACCTCACCTTAAAGAAGAGCACCGTTTACACCCCATTCACGTTGTAAATAAAGCACCCTCCGGGGACTTGTCTGTAAACTTATCCAACTGTGTTGCTGTTTTCCCTCTGCCTCGCTGCAATATATATATATATATATCTGCTCTCCGTTAAACAGAAATTGGGGGAAAAAATAAATGGGGGCGAATAATTCTGACTTCAACGAGATATATATATATATATATATATATATATATATATATATATATATATATATTTACAGTTTCTGTGTAGTTTACACTAAACGAGTCACTTCACAGAATGTGCACTTATTATTTTTTTTAACGAATGCCTTAAGACTAAGTTTTACACTTATTAATGTATTATTAAATTTTATCAAACTTATAGTTGTTTTTTCTTGAGGCTCTTATGTCTGATATCATATTTACATTGTGGGTAATTTCTATTAATTTCAGAATA